TTTTCTTGTTAAAGATTTGAGCACGGGGGCATCCTTGGTTCGAGACCAGAATAAAGATAACATTTACGAGTGGTCGTCATCTCCACAAATAACCCAACCCATTGTTCACTCTTCATTTGCAACTTCAATTGATGTGTGGCATCGTCGTCTTGATCATCCCTCGTCCTCTATCTAGCAGAAATTATTTTTTCGTTACTCTCTTCCTACTTTTAAAACAAGTAGCATTATAATTCATTGTGATGCTGGTCTTAGCACTAAAAGTCATAGACTACCTTTTGGAACATCCTCCATATCCTGCTCTAAACCGTTTAAAATTATTTATACCGATGTTTGGGGCCCTACCTCAACCACTTCTTTTGACAAGTTCAGATCTTATATCATTTTCATAAACTATTTCATTAAGTACATATGGTTATATTTTCTTCATCATAAATATGAAGTTTCAATAATCTTTACCGACTTTAGAAAGTTGGTCAAGAACTTCTTTCAGTCTACAATTAAAACAGTTTACTCTGATGGCGGAGGTGAATATCAAACCCTCATATCCTGTCTCTTAGCTTGTGGTATACAACACCTTAAGTCACCCCTATATACTCCTAAACTAGTTGGCTCTGCCAAACGCAAACATCGTTATATAGTTGAAATTGGTCTCACACTTTTACATCAAGCCTTCATGCCACCAACCTTTTGGTCAGCAGTCTTTCAAACTATAGCCTACCTCATTAATCGTATGCTCACTTTAGTCCTACAATATCAGTCACCATTTGAAAAACTATTTCATAAACTTCTAAATCTTCATAAACTTGAAGTATTTGGATGTCTATGTTATTTATAGCTATGTCTTTGTGCCTTACAAAAGATAACACCAAGATCTAAGCCTCATATTTTTATAGGATACTCTTTTAAACATAATGCTTTTCGATACTACGACCCCTAAACTCAAAAAGTCTTTATATCACGTCACGTTATTTTTGTGGAGTCTACCTTTCCTTTTCAAAACCACGAGTCGCCTGCCATGCGAGCCACTCCAACAAACATACATCACTGGAGTATACCTTCGATCCTGTCAAACGAGCCTCCCACAACACCGTTCAGTCCTTCCCCTCAGGATTCACACTCTATTGTTACTTCAGTTCCGTAGCTCCTAACTCCCTCCACTACTTCTCCACTTCCTTCTTTACAAATTCCCCTTATTGATGAAGCAATGCCCTTAGAAACACAACCATTGTCTTTACCTTCTCCTGGACCCAATGACATTGAAGTACCTTAGCCTGACCGGGCTCGTGTCACTGACTCTCCACCACTTATACCTACAACATAACCTACCAATCCCACGGCCCCTGGACATTCAATGACAACACGCTCTAAAAGTGATATTTTCAAACCGCGTCACGTCCTTGACCCTCCATAACTCTACATAGACCCTTGTACTCTTTCATCACACACAAATATCATCGGGTATAAGTGGGTCTTTCGAATGAAGGGGAACCCAGATAGATTCGTTGCCAGATAAAAAGCATGTCTAGTGGCCAAAGGGTTTCATCAACGACCTGGTGTTGACTTCACAGAGACATTTAGTTCCGTACAACTATCCAACTTATACTCAGTTTGGCCATCACAAAAGGCTGGCACTTACGACAACTTGATGACATTATTATCACAGGCAATAATCCTATGAAGATCAAAGAATTTCTCCAGCAATTGGTAAGTCGATTCTCCTTCAAAGATCTAGGAACCTTGAGCTATTTTCTAGAAGTGGAAGCAACATATACATCTTGAGAACTCTTCCTATCATAAAGAAAGTATATTTAAGATTTATTATCAAAGACGAATATGCAGGACGCGAAAGAGGTTACAACTCTCCTCTATACTAGTGAATCACTTAAATTATTTGATGAAAGCTCTGCTACGGACCCTACTCAATACCGACAAGCAAGGTCTGCAATACCGAATGATACTGCCCATATCGGGCGGTACGTATCGGTCCGTCAACAGACCGGTACATGGACCGAGCAGTACCGTCGATGGAGAAGTTATCGTCGACGGTGACCGAGGGAGAAGAAAGAAGAGGTAGATGGTGAAGAAAGAAATAGGAAAAAAATAGAGAACCTAGAGATCGTCGCTCTCCTCCTCATCTGTCGGCGACTTCTCATTCGCGCGTGGGAGAAGAGGCATCGTCGTCGTAGGGCGGAGAGAGGCGAAGATTTTTTTTTCCCTTCTCGGGCGACGTCGCCTGTAATTTTTTTTATCTTCAACGTTACCTCGGCTACATCGCCCGAGAAGGGAGGAGACGTCGTAATTTTTTTTTTTTTAAATCGAGGCGACATCGCCCAAGAAGAGAGGCGATGTTGCCCCGTATAGAGGTAAACCGAGCGGTTTACCCATATATATATATATATATATATATATATATATATATATATATATATATATATATATATATATATATATATATCGCTCGGTATACTGTACCGAATAAGTCTCGAAATTTCGGTACAATATGAAATTTCAATCTTTGCCGACAAGTACTTGGCTCCTTAGAGTACTTAGCTCTCACCCGTCCAGACATCTCATTTGCAGTTAATAAATTATCACAATTCATACATCGGTCATCTACTATGCATTGGTCTGTAATTAAACGAATCTTGCGATATCTTAAAGGGACCCTCAATTATGGACTCTTTCTTCGTAAACACTCCCCACTTCATCTCCATGCCTTTGTCAATGTTGATTGGACAGGGAACTTTGATAATAGAACATCCTCGTGAGGGTATATTGTCTTCCTTGGAGCTAATCGAATCAGTTGGAGTTTTAAAAGCGAAAGATAGTCACACGATCTACAACTAAAGCTAAATATTGTGTCATCACTATCACTGCTGCAGAACTCAATTGGGTCACGAATCTGCTCAAGGAACTTGACATCAACTCCACCCTTACTCCTACAATATATTATGAGAATGTCGGAGCCACCTACCTATGCGCCAATCTAGTATTTCACTCACGCATTAAACACATTGCCATTGACTTTCACTTTGTGCGAGATCAAATTGTCATACATCAACTATGCGTTTCTCACGTATATACAACTGATCAACTAGCAGACTCGCTCACGAAGCCTATCATCCGCAAACTATTTTCATTGCATCGGTCCAAGATCAACATCTTTGACAGGGGCCCAATCTCGCAGGGGCATGACAATAGATAAGATTTCCCCAAATGCACGAGGAAATCTCGTTGATTTGTTGAGGAAAATCTTCTCATCTAACTTGTATAAATAGTGATCATGTCAATAAACTTTCATCAAGCTTTGTAATCACATTCCATTTTATCAGTTAGCACTGGTGTTGTGCTTCATAGTTAGCTGTTTCATGCTTATCTAAATTCCAGACATGTCAAGATTACCACACGTATGCTTTTGGGTTTAAACTAACATGTCCTGAAAAAAGAGAACGAGAAGTTAGCAAGTAATCTTTTTCAAGCTTCTAAAGAAATCAGTAATGGAATGCAGATCTGCGTATGCAACTGTATTCATGAAATGGGGTGTCAGATGGAACTTTCTGTTGTAAACTGCCAAAGATAATGCAAAGAAGCTTTTGTTGACTGAAATGGATGAAATGCCATATGTTCCTCATAACTTGGAGTGCGCACCATGAACATAGTTTATTCAGAATGGACATGTATCGAATAGTTGTAACCTGTAGTTCAGTTGTTTTCTTTTACATTTATTTGAAATGCACACATGGTATATCTAATATGAGAAGTGATTTAGGTAAGGAGACGTAAAACCTGCTTCACTCATACATCCAACCACAAAGAACGCTGCAATAACAATATGGAGAGTTAGAAATTCAACGACAGCACACTGTACTATATATCTGTAAACATGCAGTTTCGACTTTCACAAAATTGTTGCACGAATAATAGTAAAACTCAAGATGGACATGTTGGTTATAACCTTGTTACTGGCTCAATGATCTGCAGTTTGGTTAAAGTTATCTTTGACATTCACAGGTAAAGAAACTCCATCAAGAGAACAAGCTGTACATGATGGTGGACAAAGACCTCAAAAATAACTATAACAGAGTTGAGCTTGAGGAGATGATTCAAGTGGCTCTGCTTTGCACGCAATTTCACCCTTCCCAGCGCCCAAAGATGTCAGAGGTGGTAAGAATGTTGGAAGGTGATGGGCTTGCTGAAAAGTGGGAAGCCTCACAGAGGATGGACACCCCAAAGTCAAGATCTTCAGAGCAGCTTACTCCAAAGTATATAGACTTCATGGAGGATTCTTCGTTTGTGGTAGAAGCAATTGAACTTTCAGGGCCTAGGTGAGTACAATATGTTCATCAACTGTAAATGGAGGAATCTTCTGAACTTTCAGGGCCTATATGAGTACAATATGTTCATCAACTGTAAATTCGTGGGTTTTGGAAGCATGGAAATGCATGTGGATTACAATTGTGTACTTCTTGCAGTTTGATTGCATGACTGTACATCTGTATAAAAGGAAAGAGATTGTTGTAAAAGAAAATTTTGTCAAATTTCAGTCTTTGTCAAAGAGATTGTTGTTTGCGTGGGTTGCTCTTTCTTTTTGTCTGCATTTTTCTTTCTTTCCTCTCCGCAGAGGCCAAATGCTTCATTTTTACCCTTGTTTTGCCCTCTACTCAGATGACGCTTTGACACAGCTCAGCTTCCTTAAAACCAGAGGCCTAAACTACCAAGGGTTTCGCTCAGAATCCATCGAGGATTTGATTCATATGCTATAATCATGTTTAGGAATCACGCATGGGCAGATAGTTCATCGACATGGCTAGCTGCAGCCCGGACTTCTACAGTGATTAGGAACCGAGATATGCCCTCGTCCAACCCTCGCTCGTTACACCGACATTGCAATTCTCTGGGACTAACCCAGCAAAAACCAATAACTATTCTTTAGGGCACGACAAAACCTCGGAGATCATTTTATTGAACGTTATAATTCTTTTTACCCCGGACTGCATCACTGATTATATAATCATGATATCTTAATTTCATTGCCACAGCAACTGGTCGACGTGCAAGGTTAAAATCAACACAGAAAGGAATAGAGGTACAAAAAGAAAAAAAAAAAAAAGAAAAAGAATAACACATGGTAGCAATTTCATTGCCACCATCTTATGTTGCAAAATAACTTGTATTACTACATCAATTTCTGACACTTTATTGCACCTATTACAGTAAAGAGACCGTTGATACATCACGAACAAAACTATCGAGCAGGTATAGCACCACAAGCATTTCTTTCTGCGGCTGCACAAATCATGGTCTACTGGCATAACACAGCTTCACAATATGACTTCATGGATCTAACAAGAACCTTCTCAAGTATTCAAGGCCTCCTGAAGGACTGCAAAAAAAAAGCAGGACAGATTAGAGGGCATCACATGAAGAATTCAACAGAAAAGCTTAGAGGCTAGCAAAAGACTGTTCTATGAATAAAGACATACATCATCATCTTTTGTGGCATCCTTCAGTTGCGCAACAAGTCGTTCTCTTGCCTGAGCAGCTGCAAGAGACATCAAAAGTAGCAAATGAAAACGAAGTTGCCCCAAGCCAGAATTTTACTGCCAACTCAGAATGATAATTTTCAAAAAATGATCAGTCATTCATATATTTTTAACTGTAAATTAGATTGCTAGCCTTTATATTACATAACTACAAGATCAAGCAAGAAATTTACTGCCAACTCAGAATGATAATTTACAAAAAATGATCAGTCTTTCATATATTTTAACTGTAAATTAGATTGCTAGCCTTTATATTACATAACTACAAGATCTTTGCAACGATGTTCACCAATGGACACAGTTCGAGCAATGAATACAGTTTGCAAGTTCTTTCTATACCGCATCATACTGCTAAGATGTGCCAATGAGTATAGTCTAGCACTTTCTTTTTGGTATCCCGAGACTAGTAAGGTGATCTGTAAAACTTAAAAGGTCAAATTCTACAATTTAAAACGCATCGAAATTGCATAGATCCCACCGGTTGAGATGCATACTTCACAAAACACAAATCAAGCACACATATTGTAGAATAAGCAACAATCCTACAGTGAAAGACAAAGCTGTCAAAGACCCTGGTACTGGTCATCCGATTTTCACAACAATTTCTAAGAAAAACCCACAGGACATTCTGGTACTTAGAATTTTGCAATACTTCTAACCAAAATCCACAAAATATTTCAAACTAACCCATGAGATATATTTATGTCCATTGATGGAAAAGCATATGTTTTTTCAGGCTCAGGAATATGAGCTGGATTACATCTACATTTCCAAAAAGACAGAAAGCAAAGATAATTTACCTTTAGTAGAAACATCTTCTATAGCTTTAGAAGTTCTCACGGCAAACCTTTGAAAGGCACGGCTGTTCACACCGAATCATAACATCAAGGTTATATCCAATGACCACAAAAATCTAAATTAACATTCTTGGATGAACCAGAAAACTTGAGAAAGAAAATCAGGCAACCAAGCCAGAACAGTTGGTACGAACATGTGGCTTACCATCATTCAAATGCAACAGTGAGTTTGCACCAGAATTTTGTTGCTTCAAATACAAATATAAACTCATAAAGCAGACAAACCTCTCTGAATCTCTCCAGTAATGAGACAAAGCAAAAGGACAACTTTTTCTGACTTCAAATACAAATATAAACCATAAAACAGACATACCATGCATTTATCAACTAAGGAGACAGAGAAAAAGGCAAATTTTCTTGCTTCAAACACAAACATAAACCATAAAACAGACAATCATATTCAATATAAAATGAATGCAAAGGATATAACACAGCAAATAGTTTTATGTTGTAAAGCACTTCAATAGAATGACAATGGTCCATCACCTCCACAGTAGTCATTACAGGTCCCAAGGATGATTACAGTTTTGTGAGCTGTCTAACAAGAAGATTCTTATAATTCTAAAATCTGTAAACAGGACAAGCTTGAAAAGAACATAAAATATAAAGCAGTCCAAATGATCTAAAAATATATATAAAAAGGAGAAAATTTTAAAGGGTATTTATTATATTGCAAACAAAAAAAGATAAACTGGCATGCGATCATTTCCATAGAATCATCACGGCCTGTGGGATCATCGTGGTTGTATAAATTGCAAAAGAAGCAGGTTTCTTAATCATCTAAGTGAAATATTTGTCAAAAGATAGGGAAAACAAACAATTCTCAGAAGCATAGACCAGGTGCAATCAGTTCTCAAACAGATGTGACCTCGTTACCACACGGACGTCAATTGGCTATGCTAAAAGGGTGCACTCGATCTCCCCAGCCGGCGGCATATGCCTGAAATACAGTCTACAGGAACGGAATACAGAAGAAGAGAGATAAACTAAAAGATGCCTTTGCAGCTTCGAAGGAACGAGTCGAACGAGAAATGGATCAGAAGACCCGTCTAGAAGATTAAGAAGCATACACCCAAGGAAAAAAAGAACAGGCTGCGAGATAGCATGGGAACCAATAAAGGAACAGAGGGTTACTTGTTAGCGAGGCCTTCGACGACCACCTCGTTGACGACGTAGCTGATGACTCTTCCCAAGAAGTTACCGCCAGCCATCAGATAACCAGAACCAGGAGGCTGAGCGAAGTCCCCGACCTGCTCTAGATCAGGAAAAAGAAACTAGTTAACCTTCCCTGCCTCTGGAGATGGAGAACGTGGATTGGAAACGGAAACAATCGGGAATACCAGAGGCGGAGGCGGAGGCGGAGGCACGGGAGGGAGGCCAACAGAAAGGACGACAGGAAAGAAGGCGGCGACGCGATCGCGGCTGCGAAATAGGCGTCGATCTTCGCCGGGATTTACAGAGACGGAGACGTCCAAATAAGGGCTGTGATTCGGGCGCGTATCGCTTCGACGGTGTAGATGGATTTTAATTATAACCCTAATCGAGACGGGTTCGGATGGCCATCTCGACTAGTGGGCCGTACGGATGTTATGGGTTGTCAGATAGCCACGTAAGTGGGTGCCCAACATTTGGGTTGGGTGGAAACGAACCCATCGGCAGTGGTTCTGACATGTGACACGCTCATCGGCTGCGCGAGAGGCGACATCGATTAGGGAAGTTTGCCGGTCTGATTGATGGGAAAACGAGCAAACAAATGAAAAGAGATAAATCGGGCGAGTGCAGCAACCACTAATTAGCTATCTTTAATATTTTAATTTTTAAAATTTAAAAAATATATTAATATCTTTATAATTATAAAAATAAAATATCCATATTCATTTATCTTAACGATATCAGTTTTACCGATAAAAATACAAAGACAAAAGATAAAAATATAATTTTAACGTTCGATGGCAGATAGTGTTAGTGGTGGTCGACGGTGGCACCGCTAGCGTCGATGCCGATGCAGTTGCCTAGTTGCCTTCGATGATGATAAGGTCCGCTCTCACGGTGACACCACCTTCCTCTATGAAGAGTGCACAGCCGATCTCATTGTTGCCTTTCTCGCTCCACTCTGCATATGCGTCGATGCTGACGCAGTTGTCACTCAGAAATTATGTTGATGTCGACACATATGGTGATGGTTGCTCCTCATTCCCTAGCACCTCTACCATCCCATTCTCTTGGGAGCACCGCCTCGGAATCCCTAAATTCCTCTCCCACCTACCCAACTCGTAATTGAGGATGCCTTTCCCCACCCTCTCCTACCCCATCCTTCCCCCAATCCGCTCTCACTCGGAACTCTCCACCACGTGCAAGAAGCACTCTATTGCCTCATCTGGCCCGTTCATGGCTGCACTCGCCCTTTGCTCTAATGGCCTCCCGCACGATGATAACACCGATGTCATTCGCCACCGAACGTTAAAATTATATTTTTGCCTTTTGTTTCATATTTTTGTTGATAAAACTAATACCGTTAGGATACATAGACCTAGATATTTTACTTTCGTAACTATTTATAATTAGCAGGATACATAGATCTAGATATTTTATTTTCGTAACTATTTATAATTAGCCTAGATAAATCATGCATTGTTGCACTTGTACTTCCGTGTAAGAGGAATAGAACATTTAGTTAACGTCAAACCAATCATTTTCATTACTTCGGTGTAACTTTTATTCTTATTATAAGCACTATAAATATAAGATTGCTATAGGTGATTAATCAGAGTTTATCGGACGAATGCTAACACAAGTATTATATATACAAGAGTGTGAAGACCAGTGTATTAAGATGCGTAAGGGCAAATGCCTTGGAAGGCATTATTGCATTGTGTACGAAGCGTGAATTCATCGTCGGAACCAATGATGCATGCCATCAGTTTAACAAAAGTGTACGAAGCGTGAATTCACTGGTTTTATGATTCGAATTGGTCGTAATAGGTAACTTAAGCGCGAAGAAACAGGAGGAGGGCAATGTATAATCTGGTTTTCACCAAGCAGCTAGCTCCCATAAATTCACACTTTATTGTGACCCAAGTAGCAATAGTAGCAGCAGCAGCACATCGCTATGAGCTCCATCGTATCGTTGCTGTCGACTGATTGTTGCCAACCTTGGGAGTTCTTATTTAACAGTAGACCGTCAGAAGGGTTGATGCACATCATCATGCTTCGGTTCCAACATGAATCGCAACAGAAACACGAGGTGAGCACTGAGTAGGAGAGCTACAGACAAGAAGAGAGTGCAAACTGAGGGCGACTCGTCATGGAGTTTCCCTCTGCCGTCGCGTGACTTGCCGGTTTGCCATGCATGCCTCAGCCACAAGCTCCGCTTTGTGTGCAGACGGAACGCATGGACAAACTGAAGGAGAAGGGAGGGGAGGGGTTTGGCGAGGAAGAACGAACCTTCGTCCCCTTGCTTCCCCTCCCCTCCGAGTGTCAACCTATATCATCGGGAGCCACGGACCAGAGATCATAACCCATAGCTACGAGGCGAAAGAGATGGATAAAAACGGATGCCTTCGTCCCCTGCGGTATCTGTGGAAAGCTAGTGCCATAGAATCTGAAAGGTTGCCTTTAAATAGCTGCTAGAGGAGTCTTCCTCTAAAAAGGAGGAAGGAAAGAAAGAAGGGAGTCGTGATAATCTTGTAAACCAAGCAACCTGCAGCCGCCAACAAAGTGCCCTTGCTTTTGGTCCGGCAAGAAAATTTGGAGGTGCGTGGTCTCCTTTTTCTACCAAAAGAGACGGTGCTTTATATTCCATCGTTAAGCCAGGTTAATTTCCGGCCGGCTTCTATTCGTCGTGTTAATGCCTAACATCATCTACCTACTTGCATGCATATCCCCAACATTAGCAGTGCGCTGTTGTCCTATTTTCAAGCGGACGCAGATCGATGGTGCCCGCATCGTTTTTACGAGGAACCAATGGAATTTATTATACTGGGAATTTCAACGAGCGGTAGGGTTAATCCTCTCTCTCTCTCTCTCTCTCTCTCTCTCTCTCTCTCTCTCTCTCTGCTTTTTGGAATACGAGAGTACGTGTTCACTTTTAGCCTTCGTGGTGTTGCTCTTATGTTCTTCCACTAACTCGAAGCTTATCTGAAACTTTTGCTCGCCTTTCGTATCCTCCACTACCAGCGACTTAATTAGCTTTTTAGTTAACACTAACGAGTCAGATGATCCCTTCGCTTCCGTCGGCGTGAGCTCATCATCAGATGAGATGTGGAGGTTCCCACCACGATCGGGCCAAGTGTGTGATTCTACCCGTCTGCGTCGACCCACCTACTCACGAGTGTTAGGAAACGCCAGGCCAAACGTCTGAATCGATTTACTATTAATTTGTCATTAGTTAAATACTGGTTCCTCTTTCCAGCTAGGAACCCAGCAACATGTGATTGTGACTTGGACCATCCACTCACTCTTCACTTTTGCTGTTGGCTGAGCATCGTGTCCACGACCAAAAAAGTTGAAAAAGTGATCCCCTGCTTACGTTCGTTCCGTGTAGGAATGCTTCACATATGCGGTATGAACGGCTGTATGCTTACTGCTTCTTTTCCACTAGCTGTTTAAAGGTGATTCCAGCTTTGTTTTGAGCAGCTCGTTAAATAAATAAATAAATAAATAAATAAATTATCAGGGAAAATTACTCCTTCGAGTATCTGATTCCATTTAACATTTATGTTGTGCTGGGATCTGTTGATCAGCTAGGAAGAGGAGGCGGGTATCCGCGCATGCAAATTATTCGTGCCTGCAAAAAGAGATAAGAAAAGAAAGTGAATTGCGTTTGGCCAGCTGCTGAGATACACGCCTTGCCGAAGTCATCTCCATCTTATCCTGCTTACGTAGAATAACGAGTAACATAGGTTCACGGTCCTTCGCTGAAAGATCGAATAGCCATCAACCATTCTTGCTCAGACAAAAAATATCGTGGCAACACCCAGCACACGAGGTTGGCATGAGATGAAAATGAACATGTAATAAAATAGAGGCAAAAGACTGTAGCTCTCTGATTGCCCCAACAATTAAGAAGGTTAGGTGATAGAGCATATGAAGGTCGTCAAATCAATTAAAAATTAAAATATGTGAACCCACAGAAAAGCAATAAGACGAGGATAATTGAACAATATATATGTATGCATGTATGTATATATGTATGTCCCAATAAGACCAATATTCATATATGCATGATCAAGTCGATGAGAGGCCAAATTTACCAACTTACACCACAGCAGAGGAAATGAACATAAATATCAACAGAGTTTTACACTTCGCAGCACAAGTAAAAAAATTCACTTAGGCAATTCCATGGTTTCCAAGGTATTATATCATGAAAGCTTGCATACCATACATTACAAGCTGCCATTTAACAGCACTGTTATATGCATCTGGGGAAGTAGATTTGACCCACGTATCCTCCAGCCATTGCCCTTCTGACATTTGTCTCAAACAACCTAGGGTTGTCACGTAGGACTGCAGCTGCATCATGATTTAGTGGGTCCTCATCGTTTGGTTGCTGTGCACAAACCAGTAGCAGCCATATACAACAGTTAGCTATATACCATATGAAATACGCTTAAACAATCTCTTTTAGATTGTGCATCCATCATAAAGCAATTCGAGTGACACGATACTAAAGTGCTAAAAAATATAAAACAAAAGGGCATCAAAAAAATTTGTCTAATGTTCATGGATCACAGAATATATGTATGTGTATATATATATATATATATATATATATATATATATATATATATATATATATACACATATATACACAAATATATATATATACACATATATACATACATAACATATATATAAATATATATATATATATATATATATATATATATAT